CTTATTAAGCCTTATTATTTAATGTCAGTGATATGAAACAAAATTTATCAGTAACTCTTATTTTTCATGATCGTTGAAAGGTACCGATACAGAAGTCGTACCGAATCTTGATGCATTTTTTCTATCCAATTCTGACAAAATAACTTCTGTTTTTTCTTTTCTTTAAGTGCCTCCACTTTTTCCCCATATAATCCGTACCGGCGCGCACTTATTGCAAAAAACCACGGCCGTTAAGCGCGCGGTACTGCCCGGCAATATTTTTTAATTGTCCATTCGGCCGGGTTCGTTTACTATAATTAATGAGCCATCTTAATTTGAACGCGGCAGTACGTTTTGACATTTCCGCGATATCAATCACTCAAGAAAAGAAAATTTTATTTGTAGTACCACAGATTAGGTATCCTATAAGTATACAGATAAAAATCTTGTCCCTAGTTCGTGGTACGAAAATTGTTTTTTATGACGATGTGCAAACGAGTCAAATTTCTTGTGCGCAAAAATAAACTCGCGTAAAATAACAATAAACAGCGTAATAGAGAGATATCGCTAAACCGAATAGCGTGCGTGGACGTTAATAAGGCCAGGTGTTATTTCGTTTACGTGAGGTGGTATTAACTCTCTTCATTTATAGTTATCCGATCGGAAAGAATTCTGTTCGCGTCGCGTCCGCTAATTAAACTTAACCTAACTTTGAATTTAAAACTTTGAAATTGTTTTGTTTAGTAGGTATTTTAAAACAAAAGGGCTAAAGTGCTAAAAAAATCTCGCCGGCCGGCTGCGGTTGTCAAATACCCGCACATGCCCATTTAAGCAACTTTTAAACGTTATTTAGAAATAGCGCTTGGTGTAATTGATCCGCAAATTACGTCAGGCGGTAACGTTATTAGCGGGTGTTGCGTTAAAAATTGACTCGCGCATATCGTAACCATGATAACGTACGCGTAAATACTGGATGACGCTATTCGGTATTCCGATATCTCTCTAATAACTGTGCCGGTCTGGCGCTGTGCACAATTTTAGAGGCCATAAGTGGGCGTGCTATGTGCGCAAACTAGTCACCTAACTATTGCCCGATTCCGAAAATTGGAACCACGAAAAACAATAAAGAAAAAACAAAGATTATAACCTGTGGTAGTACTTACAAAATATTATTATTGTTTCTAACTTATTAGAAAATATTTAACAGGTAGTACCATTTCAATGGATTCTAATTAATAAAATTAAATATTTCTTTGATTGGAACAGGTTTGGCGATATAACCGAGACTGCCCTCTGTCCGGTTCTGCGTGTACAGCTATAGCGGCGACAAAAACCACCCACTAAAAGGCACCGAGTACCGCCGGATGCCGACGACAAGCGGTCTGGCCTTTTCGGTACGACCGGCGGCGTATGTGTTCAAGACCGCGCCATCGTCTGAATACAAATGCGTCTCTTTTTTGTAGTACCTCCCAAGCGGATTCTATCATCGCCGATGCAAGTACAACCTTAAGAACATATCTGCTTCTTTTTTTTCTTTGGTAACGGTACTTCCAGAAAGCATAGCGTCGATTTTAATTTTAGTATTATTATTAGTCTCAAATTAGTTGTTTGTTTACAAGATTTCAAGATTCTTATTATTTGTTGTTAACTGTTGATTTTTAAGACTGAACAAATAAAAAATTTTGTCCAGGCTTAGTTAAATAGATTTAGCCAGTACTTCTACGTGATAAATGCGAGATTTAGTGCCAAAAGCAGCTGAAAAGCCCGCACAGTCGAATCGAAATAAAGAATTATCCGCAATATAGTTGTTGTTTTTTCTTTAAAGTTAGAGACTGCAGTTGTTCAGCGTTTCAGTGGCGTTTTCTATGTTAGATTTTATATCGCTAAGTGTTAAAATTTAATTTTTGAATTTTACTACAATAATTAGAAAAATTAGGACCCAAATCAATCACAAATTGCCTTATATCTATCCAAAATAGTACTTTAGCCGCAAGAGTAGATTAAATCGTCCCATTACTGCCAAAAGTCACTTAGTAGGGCTTTTATTTTTTTAGAAATGAAAAATAATTTTAAAAAACAATTTTTTTTAATAAAACGTTCATAGACTTGGTTATGAAACCGTGTTCCCGTAGATTACTTAAATACTAGTGATGGGAATAATCGAATTATTTTCACCATCGAATAATTAGTAATAATTCATATTTCACAATCGAATTAATAATTCGAATTATTTAGTAGTATTATAAATTTAACCTAAAAATAAATTCGTCCCAGCTAGTGCTCGTCTAGGGGCTATTTTAAACAAATTCTGAACCATTGCCATACCTATATTCTACTGAATAAAAATAAAAAAAATATTCTTTATTCAATGTATTTTATTAATTGTGCTGAAGCCTGTTTAATAAATTAAAACCATAATTTAATGTTTTAAATTTAAAAGTGCCGAGTTTATGATTGTTTCAATTCCTATTGAAAAGCTCATATCTAAAATAAAAGCTTCTTCTAAAACGATATAAGTATGTCCTTGTTTACGTGCGGTTCGTATTTCTTTTTATTTTATCAGTTTCAATCAATAATAATTATTTAGATAAAAGAAGAAAACTAATTTTAGTGTTCGGTAGGTGTTCGGTGAAATTTGGGTGAGATGGAAATGAACTGAATATTAGTCTTTTTCTGTTCTGGAACGAAATGAAAATTTTCACTTAAACTGATTTATTCCGACGTGGTATAGGAAATAACAATGATTTCTGGATTTTTCTATATCGGATCGTTCCTTTCTTTGTCGATTACCTTTATAAATCAGTTTAAGTGAAAATTTTCAGTTCGTTCCGAACGAAAGAATACTACTAATAGTACTATACTAATTATTAATATTCGTATTCGTCCATAAGAGGTTATATTTTATGTTCATTTGTAATTCGGTTACCACATATATAATATAAAATACTACTAATTTTTATCTCGATTATATCGAAAAAGATAATTCGAATTAGTTAGTTTTAATTTACTATCGAATTAGTCGTATTATTTAATTCGAATTTTCCCAACACTATTAAATACCTACAAATTTTCTAAAAAAAAATAAAAATTAACAAATTTTTTAAACACAACAAAATAATAATAACTAAACAAAACTAGAAAAGTCATTTTTACTACAAATCACAAGCAAATAAAAATTAATGCGTAGCCAAGAGTCATAAAATTCAAGATTTCTCTGGGGGGGTGCCCAGCAGTACCGGGGGAGGGGTCGGCACCCCCGGGCACCCCTGTAGTTACGCCAATGAGTATAGGTAGGTTAAAAACTTTATTTCTTCTCGGACGTTTTTTAATTGCTTCCATTTTTGAAAATGTTTGTATTCTTTTTCAAAAGTTATTCGGGATTTATTCGTTTGTCGCCTCAGCCTGAATATCTGTTGGTAATTTACTTATTTCGTTTTGAGCCATTTCTGGCTCCAATTCAATCAGCAATCGACACGAAAGAGAGTTAAAAAATATTGACTCAAAACTGACAAATTTATTTGTCAAATTACATAGAAACCAACGCCAACCCAGCACAATATATTTTCTACTCGTGATAAATTCCTTGAAATAATAATTTCTGAATATTTTTTAAAACGTAACTCGCTCTGGAAAAAAAATTGTTTTATACACGACGATAAAATTGCATTATCGTCTTCCGAAATTAATTCTCATTAATCTCTTCGGTATAAAAAATAACTATAAACAAATACAGTAGGTAAATTTTAGTATTAGGACAAAAATAGGGTAAATTAAGGGACGAAAATATTTCTCCACACCACTGATTCTTTTTGGCGCACCCCCGCAATGCACCACGTCCATCCTAGCCCGTTCTCCCGATACTCCTCCTCCTCCTACAACTATTCCTCCAAGTCTATGTCTCCCTCTTTGACTCTGAACGGTCTTCTTCGAGCTATAGTAGCGCCACATGACGTTTAGTTAAAGCCTTTAAAGTTTTCAAAGCTGGCGACATCGTAAATCTTCAGGTGTGGACGTAGAAACAATTTTAAACACTAGTGTGAACGCTTAATGTGCGTGTGTGTCTTTCTTATTCCTGGAAGAACGTGACTGTGGAAAAAGTGTGTTGAAGATTGCGAAATATAGTATGAAGTATTGTATGTTCTGGTTTAAAATAATTTCGCACGTATTTTTAAACGTTTCTTTTTTCTCTAATACGGTATATTAAATTTAAACACTAATATTAGTTAAATTAAAGTAGTTATGTTGTTATGTAAGCAAATAAATAGTTAAGGGTCTTAGAATACACGGAAAAAAATATAATAAACTCCACACAATTGTAGAAAACACTGCTGCATTTTGGGTCTAAAATGGTGCGAGGCATCGGTGCGTTGTAGCTTTTATTTCTGTCAATTTCTAGAACTCCAAAATACTTAAATATACTTGATTTTATACGAAAATAGCGAACAAGTGTGGTGGTAATTCTCACAGTTTGTGTCAGAGAATATTCAGATTGTACTATTTAAAATTAAGATGAAAATCATTATTACAAATTGTAACACTACTAGCTATATTTTTTTACACAATTTGATGGTACTCTATGGGGAAGAATAATAACTTAGTTAATACAAACATTATTATGTGTCATACATTTATAGAAATCTAAGTACAATGTTGTATTTTTTTTATTTTCATGTTTTTTTTGAATCTCCACTATTGTGGATTATTCTCAAAAAAATACATTGAGTTAGTTGACTTAGAAGACAGTAGTACCTACCTCAGAAGCTTTTATTAATATTAAAAACAATTCTTAATAACAAAAATAAAATAATTTTTTAACTTAATTAATTAAGTTAACTAAGTTAATTAATTAAGTTAACTAAGTCAATTAATTAAATTAACTAAGTTGATTAATTAAGTTAACTTAGTTACTTAATTAAGTTAACTAAGTTAATTAATTAAGTTAACTAAGTTAATTAGTTAAGTTAACTAAGTTAATTAATTAAGATAATTAGCTTAACAAATTTTCTCTCTTATTGTTTCAGGTTCTGGACATCACACCACTGTCTCGCCACGACGCTACGCCAATATTCTCCCCTCGTCCCCGCTTTTACCCCTCAATCCCACCCGTTGATGGTGCACTCTCCTTACCCCCGTTTGCCACCCACCACCCAGCGATGACGATGGCCGAAAGTGCCTTGGACCCGCGCTCCAACATCTCCCATGACAAGACCAACAACAATCATCCCACGGTGCTCAATCACAACCACCGGCAACACGTCAGTACATCTGGGAAGCTGCGAAAACGAAAAAGATTGAGTCAGGTGCTGGATAAGCTTACCACAGGGAGAGAGGATGGTTCTGGGTCTCACCAGAACTCCCCGACGATCAATAATAATGTTTATAACAATAACAAAGGTGATGAGGAGGCTTTAAAGAAGAGGTATGCCGGGGAGGTGTTTAGATTTGATGTCCCGACTAAGCAAATCAATGAGGAAGAGGACTCAGTGTTCAGTCCGGCGAGCTCGAGTAACAAATCGCCTCACAGCTCTACAGAATCGCCTAGAATCAGCTTCAGTCCTCTTAGAATCAAGGAGGACGATGCCAGTCCGTCTCCTCCGTTATTTCAGAGACCTCCTCTCTGTCCCTGCTACCAGTGCCTCACTGGAGCTGGCCAACATCCACCTCCTCTACACCCTTACGATCGTTTCTTTCCTGCTTCGCCAGTTAGTCCTTTAATTCCAGCATCTCCGGCTCCTCACAATTTCGAGAGGTACCTGCACTCGAAGTATCTGCCGGATATATTCCGGAGACGGAGTCATTCGGACTCTGACTTGCCGTTGTGGTTGGAGAAAAGTACTACTAAGAGTGAGAAGGGTGTGAGATGGCCGCACCAGTTGGCACTCTCTTCGTCTGGAGGTTCGGCCGAAGTGACTTCACCTCAGGAGTTTCCTCTGGATCTGTCAGTAAGGGGGGTGAAGGAGAGGGAGAGGGTGGCAAGTTTGGAGTGTTTGGTGCCGAATGCGTTGCAGTTGTTGCCGCCAGGGTTTTTGCCTCCGAGAGGTATGTATTTTTGAGTAATATCTTTGTAATGTATAGAGTATGTCTCCAGTGCCGGACTGTCTTTACAAGAGGAAAAACTTTTTTATTGTTCACATTTTGAGAAAAATGCTTTCTTCATAAAAAATTTTGCGTGTTCTAAAATGGTTAATCCCGTTTATGTTTTTCCAAATTTCCATACCGTTTTAGAGAAAATTAAAAAAAACTTGAAAATGCAGTAGAATTTCTTCTAACTCCTAAAAATCAAAAAGCGTTTCTCTGGTAATATAAATTTTTTGCTGTTTTAAAATGTTAAAAAAGCACAAAATTTATTTAGTTCAATGCTAAGGAAGAGTGATAATAGTTATTGGATGTGTGAAAATTAACAACAACAAAAAATATGATAGATAAAGTAAAGTAAAGATTTGAAGTTAACGTCTCTTTTTTGCTGCCAGGGCTAATCTGGACGGGGCCTACTTTGTTTACGCGGAATCCGAACCGCGATCCTCGACCATATCGTAGTCAATGGCCTACCGACTTGGCAAGTGTCGAAATCGACCCTTACTCACGAGATTTCCGATCTCATCCGGCCTCGAACCGGCGTGAATGAGCAGTGTGTGTCAATAGATTTTACACTTTTGCCTTTATTGGACAACAGCATGATAGAGTTTCGAACTGGTCACCCGTCCGTCCACTAGTATCGCCTTACGTCGCTTAACTTCGGTGTTCTAATGGGAGCCGGTGTTTTGACGTAGCTGGGCCGTAGCCTCGGTATAGATATTTGGAAAATTATAAAACGGGACTAACCATTTTAGAACAAGCAAAATTCTTTATGAAGAATGCATTTTTCTCAAAATGTCGATAATAAAAAAGTGTTTCCTGTTGTAAAGACAATACGGAGACATACTGTATAGAGTCTTAAACAGGCTACTCACTAGGCAGTATGATGAGTAACAAAAAAAAATGGCAAAAGGAGTTGTTGTCAACAAGTTTCCTGCGTGTCTGTTGGTCAAAGTGTTACTAAGAACGTTGACAAACATCTTGCCCAATCTGCTCCCTAGTGTGTGGCCAGCTTTAATATTTTATTTTGTCCCACTACTTTTAATAAACGTTTACTTAATTTTCTTTCATTTTCTCAAATAGAACACTTAAAAAACACATTATTTTCTGAGATAGAATAGTCGAACATTTGATTAACTTTTAGAGCTAAATTTCCTAACTCCACATTACTTGTTACAGGCGCTGTATCAGTACCCGTAGTCAAAGGAGATGTAGCCTCACCCACAACAAAAGAATCTGTAGCCTCCCGCTACAATCTCGAAGTCTCCCCGGTCGTGGAAGAAATGCCTCCAGGCTCCGACGTAGCTTTCGTATGTCCAGTTTGTGGCCAAATGTTCTCACTACACGACCGCCTGGCCAAACACATGGCCTCACGACACAAAAGCAGACAGTCAGGGGGTGAGACCACCGCCAAAGCCTATCTCTGCGAGGTATGCAAAAGATCCTTCGCACGCAGCGACATGCTCACGAGGCACATGAGGCTGCACACCGGTGTCAAGCCTTACACTTGCAGGGTTTGTGGCCAAGTGTTCTCACGTTCCGATCACTTATCGACTCACCAGAGGACTCACACGGGCGAGAAGCCGTACAAGTGTCCGCAGTGTCCTTACGCGGCCTGCAGGAGGGACATGATCACGAGGCACATGCGTACTCACACCAGATACGAACCGGATAATCTCAACGTACATCCGGTGGTTAAGACTGAACCACAGTGACGTCATCGTGATCGTTTTCGTTATTTTCGAATTGAGAAGAGTGTTATTCTTTAAGTTTTTTTTGTTTTTTTTTTATGGGCGAATTATGTCGTTGTCTAGTCTGTTATGATTAAAGGTTTTGTACAGGGTGTTCGGAACTTGCGGTGCTTGCCAGAAATTAAGATATTTTTCAGAGAACAAAGACAGATAAAAAATATTTTTTTATATTTCCAAATAAGTCACACAAATTTAAAAGCGACTATTTAATTAACGTTAATTCAGTGGCGTAGACACTTGGTCTTGCTACATAGTTTTAAACAAATTTATTTTTTAAAAACTCATTTATTTTTTTGGTTTTTAAATGTTAACTTAAAACATCATATTCTGGAATAGATTATTTTACGTAAACTTTATTTTATTATCTATACAGGGTGAGTCTTAGATAAGTGTACATATTTTTTGGGGGAAATCCAGTGGTTCTCAAAATTTATCAAAAAATCATTTTTTTTCTATTCTTTTGGACATATGTTTCTTTTATCTTCCCAGACCTGAAAATATGTATACTTATTTAACGACCACCCTGTATAAATTGGGATCTTGACTCTATTACAGAAAAAAAAATAAAAAATGGTCTTTTATGATAAACTTTATTTTATTTTATTAGTTTTTCGATGAATATATTTTAATTTTTAATGCTTTATAAATATTTCTATAAATAAAAATCAAAAGATACTCTGTGAATCTCTAATAGAATACTCTTATCTATAAACTTCTCGAATTTTGAGCTACTCAAATGATACTTTTAGGACACCCTGTACATTCCTGGCTAGAAATCGTCCCCAATTTTTTGCGTTGTTTGTGTGTATATATTTTTTTATATCGGGATCTCGAAATCATTCCAGAGTAGTAAGCGTATTTTTTGAAGTGTCAATTGCCAGGGCCAGTAAAAGTCAGTTTTCGAAAATATTTTTTTACAAAAATTAATTTTTTTTAGATATAAGTTTAAGGTGCGTTCACACCAGCTGCGCCGCGCCGCGGCGAACATTTTTACATGTACTTTTAAAGTGTATTTTTTTAGCGCGCACAGAAGTATATGTTAAAAAAATGATTCGCGCGGCGCGGGGCGGAGCGGCGCTGTCGGTGTGAACGCACCTTTACATTACTTAATTTTCGACTTATTAAAAAGAAAAAAAAATGTGCCAAATCTTTTAGGCCAGTGGCAAACTACTGTTATTTGATTTTTGTTATATACAAAGAAAAAATAAGTATATAAAAGACAGAATTACATTATATACGTTAAATCGAAGAAATCTAGTTTAGATAGAACTGTTATTTTTATTTCGTACAAAGATAGACTCAAAAGAATATTATAATAATCCAACTATACGATTACTCTGTGATATTTTTAAGGAATAATGTTTTTTATTTTGATTTTGCCCCCACGAAAAGTAGCGGAATGTACTTTAAGTTTCCTTTTTAAATATATTAAAATGTTCTTGTTAAAAATTGTTCAAAGAATCTCTATATACGTAAAAAATCCGTTGATGTTAAACATGTTAAAAACGCTTCTTTTGTAATAAAAAAGTCTATATACGTATTTTCTCAAAGTTTTTTTTGTTAAAACAAGACAAAAACCATCGAAATGTTGTAACATACTGTATATTGTTATCTTGTTAATTTATTTTTAAAGAGCTTTTAAGTTGTTCAATTTTCTCCTGTTCAAAAAATAAAGATATTTCTCAGTATTACTAAATAATATTTTCAAAAAAAATACAACACTGCTTGAAAGCTCGAAAAATCTGTAATTTATTATAAATGTTAAGATTAATAAAAAGAAATATCGATAATAATTTGTTAGAAGACTATGTAAAAATCTCGAAAAAAATGTTGTGTTGCCTAATTTTTACCTTATTAAGTTATTTTTGTATTATTATTTATTTTCATCTTTTTCCCCTTATTTTTTGTATAGTGTTTTTTTTTGTAAAATACGAATCGCATGTAAAAAACAAGCAGAGGTATTCTCCGATAGTTTCATTTATTATTATTATTATATTATTTAATATTTTTTGTTACTTTTGTATTTTTCCCCATTTGCTGTTACTTTTTTTTCAACCTCGAGAAAATAAATTATTTTTTTTTCTATATACCTTTTTTATTTTATTTTATTATGGTTTAAACCCTAAAAGACTTTCCTATGTACAGGATGAGTTTTAAATAAGTGCACATATTTTTGTGCACCTGACGAAAAAATATCTGTTATTTAAGGTTCACCCTGTATAATACCACTCCGTCTGTGACTAAATCCTTACCTTAGAACCGTCGTATCGAAGTGCCTTCTATATAATAGATCTATGTGACATAATATATGTTTATATGTATTGTTAACCAAGCTGGAGAATAGAAATGTAAAGATAAATCTAGAAAAAATCAACAATAAACAAACAAAATAATTCGATATGTAAGCGACCTCTAGGTATTAGAACTCGCAGATTTAATTGTTTCTCGGTACTAATCGCTGCGGAATTAAATGGTAGGTGGTACTACACGATCTAAACTACCTATTATTACGAAAGTCGACAGCAGACCTAGGCAGTTTTAACAATTTCAAAATGATTAAGCCCCCAGGTCACTGGATTCCGAGCTTATTATTTCAGAAGGCGCAGAACTCTTGTGTTGTTTTGTACCAATTAAATTTAAAATAGTAGGGTAGTACCACTATACAGGGTTGTTCACCACATACGACACGGAGTATTGTAGCTAAACGATGAGATTTTTACAAATCGTAAGTCTGGGATTCGTTGAAGGACTATTAGAGCTACAATTTAAAAATATTTTTACAAGATACAGAGTGTCCCAAATAAATAAAAAATATCAAAGTTGTATTTTTTAAATGGAACACCCTGTATATTATTACATTTTTAGTTTCTACGATTAAAATAAAGGTAAATTTGATTAAGTTTTATTATACTTAAACCTTACCGTTTTTGAAATATTTTCAATTTTGTGAAATTGCAGTAAAAATTTTAAGGCTTTATTTTTCCAAGAGTACCAAAGTTTTTAATATTAAATATTTACTGAAGTTTATTTATTGGTCAGTTATTGTGTTGCAATAATAAAAATAATACTGCCTTATACAGAGTGTCTAAAAATTTATTTTAAATAATTATTAGCTTCAAACGGCAATAACTTCTTTAATTTAAATGGAATGCCCTGTATATTTTAGGAGAATCAGATGCACAATTAAATCAAATTCAATCAAATTGTATTATACCATTTTTTACCTATCCCTTCAAGTTTTCGTAGAAAATGCATTTTCTTATAATTTAGGCCTCATTTATCAATATATCCATGGAATATTAACATTTTAGATTGTTTTTAAAGCAACAAACGTACAAAATATACAGACTAGTAATATTATCGTTTTTAGCAAAACGATAATATTACTAGTCCATTTGTATGCAAAAAGAAAACTATTTAAATCTTTATAAAAGAGTATACCATTAATTAAATATAACACCATTATTTCCGCCCATATACTAATTAATGACATACTTAATTGTGTTCGTTAATAAATTATTATAAATAAATGTGGATTTTTGAGTCAGATATCAATATAATAATAAGTTATCAAAATAAAGTCTGTGTTGTTATAAATAAGCATTTATTAAAAAATTAAATATCATTTTTAAGGTGTTACTTTTTATCACACTGTCTAATACCCATACAAAATTCAGTTTTTTAGTATTTGGAGCAATTATTATTAATCAACGCAAACAGTCAGTTAATGTAGTTTGAATACTGGAATCATATTAATTGGTCCTCTTTAACAAATATTTAAACAGTTTTTTTTTATTTTTTAATGAAATAAACGAATTATATCGGCAATATTAGTATCTGTACTCTTTAAAAATTTGGTACATCTTTAAAAATAATCTAAAATGTCAATAGTCCATGGGTATATTGATAAATAAGTTCTAAATTATAAGAAAATGCATTTTCTACGAAAACTTGAAGGGATAGGTAAAAAATGGTATAATACAATTTGATAGACAATTTAATTGTGCATCTGATTCTCCTAAAATATACAGGGCATTCCATTTAAATTAAAGAAGTTATTGCCGTTTGAAGCTAATAATTATTTAAAATAAATTTTTAGACGCTCTGTATAAGGCAGTATTATTTTTATTATTGCAACACAATAACTGACCAATAAATAAACTTCAGTAAATATTTAATATTAAAAACTTTGGTACTCTTGGAAAAATAAAGCCTTAAAATTTTTACTGCAATTTCACAAAATTGAAAATATTTCAAAAACGGTAAGGTTTAAGTGTGAGAAACCTTAATCAAATTTACCTTTATTTTAATCGTAGAAACTAAAAATGTAATAATATACAGGGTGTTCCATTTAAAAAAATACAACTTTGATATTTTTTACTTATTTGGGACACTCTGTATCTTGTAAAAATATTTTTAAATTGTAGCTCTAATAGTCCTTCATCGAACCCAAAACTTACAATTTGTAAAAATCTCATCGTTTAGCTACAATACTCCGTGTCGTATGTGGTGAACAACCCTGTATAGTATGAAAGTTCATCGTACTAAAGAAACTCTAGTTTTTGTCTAAACCGATTTTTTGAATGTTTTAATGCCATATGATGAAAAAAAAACAGCGTCAGAGTAGCCTTTTAAATGGCATTCTATGATATTTTCTGTCAAGCAAACCTCTATAAACCATTAAATTAAAATAAAACATGAAAACTTTTTTTTTCAAACGTTTACGTTAGTTTAAAATAAATGACGTATAGAGTTTGACCTGATAGAAACAATAATGTTCAATTCAAAGGTGATATTGACGGTGTTTTTTTTGGCAATCAGTCAACATGTCTATTAACAAGTTTTTAGAGGATCTTCAGACAAATAAAATCAAGTTTTTTTGGTTGCGATTAGATTTATACAGGGAAACTAAAAAATAAACAGTTGTCTACACAACATATTCAGAAAAAAATATATAAAAAATAGTGTTGTGATTGTGATGATAATAATAAATTATACTCCATAATATTTTTCAATCTCCAGCTTGGAAAAAGTCCTTAAATGTGATGACGTTGATGGCAATTTTTGTCAAAAAAATGATCGAAACCCATCCTAGTACCTGTTCAAGAGAATGTGAAAGATTTTTGTATATTTGTACCCAAATCTATGATTGGCAGATCGAAAATGTAATAAATGTACTATGTACTATTACCTGTATTTATGTGAAATCA